TGGGGGGGGGTCCACACTGAAAACCAAGGGGTGGTTAGTGGCCGCATCAATAGGTGACCATCTGGTTTGTCGGCCCAGCCGTGTGTCCGTTAGCCTTGGGTGAAGTTTTACCGTGCACCGAATTCCGCCCGGACACGTTTGTACACTTCGATCCTTCACCTCTCCCAATCGTTCATCGACGCCCTGCACCTGTCTTAGAAGCATTCCTCTTCATTTCCCTCTTGCCTCAATTGATCATTGCCGCTGGCTGCAATTATTATTCATCAATTACTAACCGCGAGGGGACATAGCCACATCAAGCACACGGCCCGGCATTGTTGAACCTTCGTCCAACTCTTGGCAGTACCACCACCAATTTGCTTCCTTCCATCGTGGAAAGAAGCTCCTTTAAACCACCTTCAAAATGACGACAATGGTATGGAACTACCCCTCACCCTCGTAGAATAATTAGTACTAGGGGTTTTTGATATGTACCCATCATCAGACGGGCATGAGTCTCCAAATGACGGCACAACTCAGCGATCTGGCCCCACGGCTATCGTGAACAACCAACGTCGCTCACTGATGACAATACATGGGCTAACTTGTTCTATCTGACAGGATCTGCGTGTCGGTAACAAGTACCGCATCGGCCGGAAGATTGGTTCGGGTTCGTTCGGTGATATTTATCTTGGCACCAACATCATTTCCGGAGAGGAAATTGCCATCAAGCTCGAATCCGTCAAGGCAAAGCATCCCCAGCTCGAATATGAAGCCCGTGTCTACAAGTCTCTCGCTGGGGGTGTTGGTATTCCGTTCGTTCGCTGGTTTGGTACCGAGTGCGACTACAACGCGATGGTGCTCGATCTCCTTGGTCCCAGCTTGGAAGATCTCTTCAATTTTTGCAACCGCAAATTCTCGCTGAAAACCGTCCTTCTGCTCGCCGACCAACTGATTTCCCGAATCGAGTATATTCACGCCAAGTCTTTTATCCATCGTGATATCAAACCGGACAATTTCCTTATGGGCATTGGCAAGCGAGGCAATCAAGTCAACGTCATTGATTTTGGTCTGGCCAAGAAATACCGAGACCCCAAGACTCATTTCCATATCCCTTACCGTGAGAACAAGAATTTGACCGGCACTGCACGTTATGCATCCATCAATACCCACTTGGGCGTTGAGCAGTCTCGCCGTGACGATATGGAATCTCTTGGCTACGTCATGCTCTACTTTTGCCGTGGGTCTCTCCCTTGGCAGGGTCTGAAGGCTGCCACCAAGAAGCAGAAGTATGACCGCATTATGGAGAAGAAGATGACAACCCCTACCGAGGTGTTGTGCCGTGGCTTCCCCAACGAGTTTGCCATCTATTTGAACTACACTCGTTCCCTTCGATTTGACGACAAGCCTGACTACAGCTATCTCCGCAAGATCTTCCGCGATCTCTTTGTTCGTGAGGGCTTCCAATACGACTATGTATTCGACTGGACCGTCTACAAGTACCAAAAGAACGCCCAGGCCATCGCTCAGGCCGCTGGCCAGGCCAACCCTGAAGATGACGAGAAGGCCCGTGCTTCCCGCACAAATGCTGCCACTGCTGGACAGTCTGGTGCCGCCAAGCCCAATGCTATCCCGAGCTCTCGACGTAAAATGCTTGAACGTGGATCTGGTGCTGGTGTCGACACCCCGGATACCAACCGTGCCATTGGCGGAAGCGACAGGATGTGAGTGAAAAAGAACAAGCCCAGCCTTTAACGACATTCTTCTCTTTCTTGTAAGGAGTCATTTTCCTGCGCGCGTTGACTGTACTTGATACCGCTGGCTAAAGGGAAAATGTGCTGACAATCTATGGCTGACTCAGTGGACGATAAACAGGCTTCGCTCTGCTTCAAGGGGAGCGGCTTATGCCTCTGGCAGCCACCGGCCGACTTGATCCGTAATACATGGGCTTATCACTGGCTTGCCCTCATATGGGACCACCGTTTGAAACGGCAGACGAAAGATTCGCTGCCATAGATGCCGTATTCTTTTCCCCAATCGACGGAAAATCAAGACTACATGCGCCAGGAGATGTGATGAGTCGAAGCAGCTAGCATGTTTATGCTACCACGAATCTCAAAAGCTTGCCGGCAGAAAGTCGACGTCGTGGGAAGTTTCATCGGGAGGGCCGTCATTGTTTCATTTCGCCTTATTTTTTATCATCGCGCATTGCTATATTTCGTTCTTCGACGCATTGTAGGGTTCACGACTTTACGCATGGCTCGGATCGTTCTTCGTTGGCAGCTGGTTCTTTCGCCTCGTCGATCAGGACTCGTCCCTGGGCGAAGGAATGGAATTTACTTGCTGTTCTTCGACAACAGTATCTGAACGGCATGCCCGGTGACCTGTCTATGGCAGACCGCCAAAATCCAGGGTATGTGTATGTGGCCGCAGCAGCATACCAGATGCACTTGTATCATGGAGCCGATCAGATCTACGCGCAGCAGCGAAAACCCTTTGGCGCTAAAGCTTGAGGTCTACTGACAAGACTTCCACTTCAAGTCCTAGCCCCAGTCGTTGCGGTACAGCTGCGTTTCACTCTTAGTAGGCATTTTCCTATCTTTCCTTGGTCATCAGTTCTGCACCTCACCCGACTCTTTGTCTTTGAAATTCTGGTTTTTGTCCCGCACCGCGAGGCGGCTTCTGGGGAGGTTTTGAGGAGTTGAAGAAGCCTGCTTAGCAAGGTTGTATCGGTCCCGCTACTTCGCATGCCATGCTATTTGGGCGTGTGGACTGTGTAACTTCAGATGATACGCCGTGGACCTGCTTTACTTTGGATGAGCGGTACTGGCATTCTAGGCATGATCAGGCATGTCATGTTCAGTAGGAACTCAAGCGCAGGATACGTGGTGGTAGTGTTCGGAGGATGGGCTGCTTTAATTTGATCCGCGAAATTTGCCCGGTTTGCTCGCAATTCGGCTTTCGGGCCTCGGATGCATGACTGTTGCGAGAGCTTGCTCTTCAGCTCTGCACCCCGGCGTGTAAAGAGGAGCGCTGGCATGAAGCAGACATGACCATACCAAGACGGACAAGCCAGTATTACATCAGATAGTCTTCAACAATCGAGTGCTTATTGTTTTTCTTTGCTATATTGAAATGTCATGGACGTCTTGGATCTACTGGGTGACGCTAGAGATGTGTGTTTATTATGAGGGTCACTGACTGGGTCTCTAGGAGATGAAGTCGACGGTAACATGAAATGGTAGGCCAAGGCGGTCACGACTCGACACATTGAGCCCTTCTACATGTCGCGTGAGCCAAAGGCAGGTCTGGGGCGACCAACACAGCTTTGCGTAATGGCAAGTCCTCATGAGGAGGCGCAGAGTTTAGGTCACATGGAGGCAAGAGGCGGCGGATGACGCAGGGTCTGAAGAATGCGGCACATGCATACTCCATAATTAGGAACATTACAGAGAGAAGTAGGAGCCAAGGCCCAAGGCGGCGGCTAACGCGGAGCCTTTGGGTGGATGATATCGACAAGCGGCCGACAATGGGGTTACGCTGGTGGAGTTTTTCTACTTGGGCTCAGCTCGTCCGGTTACGCCGCACCTGGAGTTCACAACTTTTTACGAGGAAGCTGGTGTGCGCATTGGTGTCCACGGCTTGAGGTTTGTCGGCCTGCAACAGCTCCGTCCAGTATGTTTTGCGCGGCCGCCTGAACAACTCTTGGACAGCCAAAATCAGCTCCCAAACATTGGTTGTGCAATACATGAATGGAGGTTGAGGCTCAGCAGGCTCAGGTGGCTGCCCGCCTCTGAGGAGCTTGAGAGATGGTCTGGCCTGGAGGGAGGGGGGATGGCTCGGTACTCTGGCGCTGGGCTTAAAAGGCTGGCTTGGCCCACGACACCCAAAGAGTCTGGTTACCGAGCGGGCTTCGAAGACGGAGGCATCAATTGAAATCTTACTCGAGTACTCGGCTGTACCGAAGATCTGAACTCTGATCGCACCGGCAAGCCCCGTCGACGAAGCACCCAGACAGGCCAGCCGAACCCCTGGACCTTGAGGACGGGAGCCCGCAGTAACTTCCAAGTACCAAGTACCCCGGTACTCCGCAACCACGACAAGTCTACCAAGTAATACGACAAGTGAACCTCACTCTGCATGGCGGCGTCCATGTCGACAAGGACTTTGCTCGACAACGAGCAACCTTCGTCTCTCGCCAGCACCAGCTCCGCGAGTGACGACAACCCGCGCAACGTCAACGGCTCGACGACAGAAGCAGCCATGGCACCCTCGACTCTTGGTCTGCTGATGCTCACCTTCAATTGCGCAAAGAAGCTGGTCAATGTCGACGTCCTCGCGAACCACGTGCACACAGCATTTACGAACAATGCCACCACGTTGCCAGATGTTGTGGTTTTGTAAGTTACCAACCCCCCCTTTTTTGGCTCTCTCTTTCCAGTATTTTATCCCCCTTCAGTCAGAAGCTGACAGGTCGCGCAGCGCTCTCCAGGAAGTCGCACCGCTGAGCTCAGCCTTCATCAGCTCGCGCTACCTCGATGAGTACTTTGCGCGCTTTGACGACGCCGTGAATCTCGCTGCCAGGCAATATGAATCCAACGGCACGACACAAGAAGAACCTCCAGCCTCGGTAGCGCAGACAGCCTCCAGCCCGGAGCCGCCCTCGCCCCAACGTCGCTCGTACACACTCGTTGCGGCCCGCAATGTCGGATACACGGCGATATTGCTCTTCGCCCTGGACCCGGACAGGATACGCAACCTGAAGCATGCCGAGGTCGGCTTTGGTACCGCTGAGATGGGCAACAAAGGCGCCGTGGGCATCCGGGCCTTGTACGACGTCGACGGCACCGGGACTAGGTGCACAGAAGTGACCTTTGTGGCGGCGCATTTGGCGGCAATGGAGTGGAATCTGGCCCGGCGGAATGCAAACTGGGCAGCGATTGTGCGGGGGCTGACGTTTGGCGATCCCGAGGTCATCTTGAACGACCTAAGGGGACCCGAGGGAGGCCGTGAGCCCGCCCAGCCAGCCGAGAATAGCGACCAAGGCACCGAGGGACACGGCCTGCTGCACGACGTACACGACGAGCAACACGTCCAAGTCCAAAGGGCCATGCACGACATTTCAGTGTTCAAGCCGTCGTCGCACCTATTCGTCGCCGGCGACCTCAACTACAGGATATCAACCTCGTCTCCGCCGCCCGACGCCGTCTTCCCGAGCCTGGATCCCGCCTCGCCAAACTACTACCCTGCCTTCCTCCCCTTGGACCAGCTCACCCGCGAGCGGCGCGCCGGCCGGACCATGCACGGCCTGTCGGAGCACCAGGTCCGCTTCCCGCCAACGTACAAGTACGACGCGCAGCCCAAGCGCGAGGCCGTGCCGGACCAAGACGAGGCCGAGGTCCCGTGGACGTTTGCAAAACACAGATACCCAAGCTGGACGGACCGCGTCCTGTACCTCGACCTCCCGCCGTGGGTCAAGTCGCGCGGCGGCCACCCCAGCATCGACGTCGTTGCCTACGACGCCCTGCCGCTCCTGAGAAGCAGCGACCACCGCCCCGTCTACCTGAGGGTCGAGGTTCCTCTCGTCCCGCCACACGACTTGTCCCCGCCAGCATCGGTGGAACACGCCGCCGACAGCGACACCCTCAAGGACCCGAGAGTACGCCTACCGATAGAAGTCGACCCCGAGGCCTGGTCGCGCCGCCGGGTCGCCCGCCAGTGGGAGCTGGTCGTGGGATGGGGTGCCTTCCTGGGCAGCACCAAGGAGGGGGCCTGGATATGGGCCACGCTGCTGGCCGGCGGCGTGGCAGCATGGTGGTTGTACAAGACGTGGTGAAAGAGCGGAAAACGTGCATGTCTTACCAGTGGAATAATAGATTCCCCGCTGGGGGAGGGCAACTAGGCCCTCTCTCTCTTCTTTTCCTTTTCCTTTCCCAACCATCACGGGTAGACTACTGCCCGTGGTTTCAAGACGACATGATGGGTCATGAAAGACGAATAAACGAATGTTATTTAGGGGCGTGTCGAGCAAATCCAGCATTACTTGATAGGGGCATAATTAGGGCAACTTTTTTTTGACAATTCACACCCATGAAATGGGCATCTTGGCTCGTGGCCGTGAGCAGACTTTGACGTCAGGGTTCTTTGTTACGGTGCTTTGAACCAAGACCTGTTCGTTGCGGTCACTACTACGGGGTAGATTTTCAAGTCGTAAAACGCTAATGTGAAAACACTGTCTCGCCAGTCCTCTCGCTGGGGGTGGTCGACACTCCATGGACATGCCAGTTAAAAACGCCTTGTGGGTGCCATCACTACAATGACAAACCCTCCCCTTCCCTCCTTCCCCCCTCTTACGAATGTTACAAAAATACAATACTTTCTCCCAATCTTCAATGTTGGCGCCTCTTCCGAGGCATCTCATTTACACTGAACCAAAAAAAAATGCCCATTCTCTTACGCCTACCCGCTGCCATTTGCCCCCCGACTTGACCAGCCATGTAGTCGTGCCCAAACGAGAAACAAAAACAAAAATAAAAGGCCAATGCTCTGCTATTAGAAATCCGCAAAATACGGATCATACTGCCGCGCCATTTCCTCAGTGTACCGCTCTCGCCGGCCGTCGTCCTCGGGGTATACATCGAAGCACTGCGAGTCGCCCGGGTACCTTATCGGCGGGACTATCGGGCCTAGTTGTCGACGGTTGAGCAGGTCGTCCCAGTTGACGTTGCGGAAGAAGGGGTGAGCCTTGACGCGGGCGGCGCCGCCGCTGATATTGCCGAGGCGTCGGGAGCGGTCGATGGTGCAGAAGGAGCAGATGATGTCTTTGGCTTCGTCGGATATGGGCGGGTCATGGGGGAATGCGACTGGTTTTTCGACAATTCTTAATCCGCCTGTTAGTCTTCTCTTCTTCTTTGGGTCTGTCCTGGGACCCGGTTTTCTTACTGTTTGTATATTTCAATTGGGTTCTGATGCCAGAATGGCGGATATCCTGTTAGGAATTCGTATATCAGGATTCCTAGCGCCCACCAGTCGACAGCTGTGGTGTGACCCTTATTATGGATGACTTCGGGGGCTAGATATTCGGGCGTGCCGCAGAGGGTATATGTTTCGACGGGATGGTCGCCCTTGTAGCCTAGTCGCTTGGCGAAGCCAAAGTCTACGAGTTTGATGTGGCCGTCCTTGTCCAGCAAGAGGTTTTCCGGCTTGAGGTCCCGGTAGGCCACGCCGCCTTGCTGCTCGTGCAGGTATTCCAGTACGAGGACAATCTCGGCGGCGTAGAATTGGGCGGTGGCTTCGTCGAAGCGCCTGAATTTGCGGAGGTAGCTGAATAGCTCACCGCCGGGGACGTAATCCAGGAGCATGTATAGCGAGTCGTGGTCTGAAAATGAAGCGACCAGGTTGGTGATGAAGGGGTGGCCGGCTACATCGGCCAAGACGGCTCGCTCATGTCTGACATGGTCCACTTGCTTGAGTTTGATGACTTGTGTTTTGCGCAGGATCTTGAGGGCGTATACTTGGGCGGTGCCCGTGGTGTCCCTTTCTAATGGGATATTGGGGGCGTTGGACGGCCGGACAAGGCATACTCGCGCAAATGTGCCTAGATGGCTTAGTTAGGTTTGAATTGGCGGCACTGCCTGGGGTCAAGGGGAAATGTATCAAGGTTGAAGTGACGATGCTCGTGTTTGAGTGACGAACCTGTTCCCAAGGTGCGAACAACGTTGAAGTTGCTGGGCTCAAACCTGTGGGTTTGTGGTGACGACTCAGCTTGTCCGCCCTGTATTTTTGAATGCGCCTGGCAATTGTGAAAAGAATGATCATCATGCGCTGCATGGGAGCCTGGCGCAGCTGACGAAGTAAGGCCATTCGAAGGCAAGTTGGCTGGCGCCTGCGACTGTGCGACAGTAGCCGCCATTCTGTTGAAGTTGATGTCGAGAGATTGTTGTCGGCGAGATGCGAGCCAGGAAGTACCAAGTGGGGAGAGAAGACTAGTAATATGGACAAGACGCAGTTTGGATTGATGGTTCCTTTGTTGTTTCGTAAATGTGTTGAAAGAGAGATTGAGGCTTGGATCAATCACCCCCGTTTGAGCAGGTGGTTTCAGGTGCGGTCCATGGCCACTGGGATTCCGATATGGCTCATACACGCGCCAAATAAAAGGGAGCAGGAGCAACGACAATACGCAGCGCCGGCGCGGTTCTCTCGAAGCATGTGCCCTCTGTTCTCGCGGGAAAGAGATGAGAGACGGTGGGCTCTGCGAGACAGCGACAGGCAGGCAGTCGAGCTGCTCAGCGATTTGATGCCGAGGCAAATTGAGAATGGCCACGAGAAGTCAAGGAGGCGGAGGGGGAAAAGGCGGGCCAAAACGGGTTAAAAAAATAATGAAAAAAAATATAACGAGTATCTAGGCCTGTGCCGACTTGACGGAATTTTTTTCGTCGAGGCGGCAACTGAACCGTGGTATGCTTTTTTCTTGTTCTGTCAAGTCCGACTAAGCTAACTCGGTTGGTTGGCTCTGGTGGTGAATTAGACCTGATGAGGCATAACGAGGTGCCCAAGTTGAGCGGTGGCTTGCACCAGGCTTTGACAACGGGGCAGTTCTCGGCGGGATTCAACGTGGCACAATACGGAGTAGAGAGAAAGAGAGCAAAATCGATGACGGCACAACGGCGACGGTAGCGGCCGTTGAAGCGATGTTGGGGACGAGGCCAATATTAGCGAGCACAAGATGCGGAAGCGAGGCGGGCGCGACAGCAACAGGAGTAATAAGGCAAGTCACATAGGAATGTGGAAGAAACGGGTCAACCACAGGATGGGGATTCGGGGATTCAAGCAAGCCAGTCGTGACGTCGGGCTTTCCGACGTGGATGCTGACCTCCGGAATTTGGGGGGAGGAGGATAGGATGACAGGATTACCTGCGTCGGTCAATGTTGCGATTTGAGACAGCGACGGCGACGGCGTGTACTATTGTACATGTGTGCTTGGAATGACGGGGGGCCAGCGCCAAGACTGCGCTCGAGGATTTCGTATTAGTATTAGTCTATTGATAATATGTGTGTACTTGAGCATGCTGTACGGAGTATGTGCACGTACAATGTGCATGTATGTACCAGCATCAGCACGTCTGGTGCATGTGCGGATGCAGGCGCATGCAAGCGCAGCGCAGGCAAGTGCAGGCGAGAGGATATAACGGGCAACATGGCGACAATCACAAACCGACAAAATCCGACAAAACAAAGCGGCGTACAGGTCACAAGCCACAAGCCAAAAAGCCAAAAGCTGCTGCTGGCGGCGCTGGAGCAAACCCCAATCAAATCAATCAAATCAGTCCCGGAAGCGCCCTGATCCCAGCAGTTCGGATACGTAACTAACATTTTACACGCACATGTCGGGGAGCATCGGGGACTACAGCAGCCGAGCCCCCAACCCTGAGGAACATTGGAGACACAATAACTATTATGTAACTACATAGGATTACGCTTTGGGTGCCGACATGTGGAGGGGCGCCCCCGTTGCTATCTCAAATTATGACGCAACTGTGTGGTGGGGGAAAGGCGGGCAGACCTGGGTGCATCTAGGTACATACGGTATGCTCATTCCAGCTCCTAAATTGTTCGACTGAGTGTGATTTAATCGGCAGCCGGTGAGAAAAATATTCAGAGCCTTAATGCTTCAACTACGAACGTTGAATGCAGCTGCTGTGTAAAGTCACATCTGAGAATACCCGCTTCAAAACTTCTTGCGGCGTTAGTTGCCCCGAAGACGACTTCAGGTAAAGTGGCCAAGCAACTTTTGCCCAGACAAGGTACCAAGTACCTGCCTATTGTGTTCATTATGATGCAACGCTGGTTGACCGGTGTGCATTCGTCCACACCTCGCCATGGGACAACATATCCTTCCAGACACCGTTTCTCTTTCCTCAAATTGCTAGGGAGCTCTATTATTGAATAAATCGAATCCTGCTGGGATCAATATCACGTGGAGTGTCCCTCATGCATCAAGGGCTAGCTCTGCAGTATTGATGCTTGTTTCATACTCACTGGCTCGTGTGATTGTCGTATCGCCTCTCTTTGCTCTGCCGCGATCCCTCACAAATACAGTCCGCTGCGATGATAGAATATCAGAATATGACTTTGTTTCGTGATCATCGCAAGTTGGCAGTGCTATTCTACGGGAGCCAAGGAAATTGATTATCGTGCGACTGCCGTCCACTCATATGCACCATGAGACCAGACTTATCGCACCCGCCGAGAGCCTTCCGAGGGATCAACCCTCATGCCTGCACATAGCTCACGTAAATCAACATGACTATCGAGCTCTTTCAATGTACAGCTCGGATCAATGCTGTCCATCATTTGAGCAACAACGATAAACGCACCCAACAACGACCACGGGCTTTCCTATCAACCGGTTATCAACGAGCATTTGTTGAGCATGTCCCACGACCCGATACCCGAGTCGAACAAGTGTATTGGTCATGCGTAGAAAATACGGCCCTTCAATTTCGAAGCAAGACCAGTGTGACGCGTCGCATCAAATTTATTGGTATAGAGGTGGAGGGGGAGAGCGCAGCAATTGTCCTGCCACTGTAGGGTAGGCATATGTGTCAGCAACATTGGTGATATCTTGCGTTATGAGTTCTAGTATTGTCTTTGTTTTGTCAAACACAGGCTGGTCCAATTGATATTAATGGTTCTTCTCCTCCAGCAGGGAATTTTTCATGTCAGGTCTCCTCGTCGAAATGTGTTGCTACACCCAAGTCCGTTGTTCGATCAATAGAGGTTGACTTCTAAAATAGCTACCTCAAGTCTGTTTTCCGATAGCAAGTCCGCATAAAAGACTCACTGAGGGACTCTCCGACTAATTGACAACAAGAATAGCCAGCAAACTCTTGTGCTAGAAGTGGCGGAATTCCAATCGGAGCGGATGGCGTCTCCCAAAGCCAAGGTTTCGAGTAGGATAGCCGCGGCTGCCATCCGCCTCTTATTGCTTGGGCAAGGTCCAGAAGGCTACGCCAAGGGCTGCTCGGCATTGGCTTCCGCCTCTGCGATGGACTTGTCCGAGATTCATGGTCCAACGCTCGGGGGATCGCATATGTGCGCCGTTCTGATGCGAGGGTTTCGACGGTGGCGGAGTAGTTAGATCGTTTATGAAGTAATTTTCCTCGGCAAAGAAGCATCCGACGTCCGATGTGGTGTAGTGGCTATCATACTGCGCTTTCATAGTCCGAGACTTGGGAGTGCCGCAGGGATCGGGGTTCGATTCCCCGCATCGGAGGCTTGTTTTCTTTTTTTATTTTACATTTTCATGTTCAGACACTACGTTTAGTCTGTACTTTGCTGAAAAGTGATCAAAGACTACGTATCTAGGTAGTTGGCAAGGCCTTTACGTTATTTTCGATTCGTTTTTTGTAGGTGTTGTCATGATCACGGCGACGACCTATATGGCTGGCCTAGAAAGGGACTGTTTTCCAACCTGTGCAACTTGGTGTATATACATTACGTCTGGGGATTTAGCAAATATCGTGAAATTCGCATAGTTGGATTTATGGTTAAACGTGATATATTATAGTGTCGCAGGACTGCAGTGCTAGTTGGCTCGTAGCAAAGGTGGGATGAAATTGGGCGGATATGCCTTACTTTTCTGTCAACGTCGACGCTTTGGGCACCTTAAACGGGCAACTTTGAACACGGCGTAATGTGTCCCCTTTCCAACATCAACACCGAATACCTTGGGGTTCAATGCAAGTAAGTACTTACATGGAAGAGAGAGAGGAGTACCACGACATTGAAGACACAGAGCTTATGATGCGCCGCAGCATTACTTACCCGGGTACCCAACTTAAATGCTGGACTAGAGATTTCATTCCAGGTGTGATATTCTACTTTGGGATTGAGCCTCATAAGTATTCCGTACGTTCTTTTCTCCCCCTCCCACTCTTTTCCTCCTTTTTTTTTTTTTTTTTTTTTTTGTT